ATGATAATGGTGTTTTTGCCACTGTTCAAAGTGCACTCCATTGCTCGTTGTACACGCAGGTTTAGGGTTGAGCAAGATTCACCATCATGTTATCTTGCTGCAACGAAATGGAGTCCTGCAGATTAACTACTGTTATTACAGTTTTTCATGCTTTTATTACTAATCTTTATGTTGTTTACTTCGAGACCCTTAGCTCGTTAATTTCACTATGTTGGAGTCCAGGCATACATCCGTCTATCTAACGACTAGCGTGCGACACTTTTAAACAACATAGAGGCATGTTAGCATGTCATGTATAATAAATTCTTTTGCGATACTCCTATCTTTGCCTTACAGTAAGGGTTTTGAATTGTCGTGAATGCAATTGATATGACAAAAAACATTCCACATCTAATAGCGGTGAAGGTAAATAACAGCAACGAACAACTTTTTTCCCAAAAATTACTTGATTTTGAAGTCAAATTATTGACATCGTGTTTCCTAATCAGTCATAATTCTGTGCATGGATTCGATTTTGAAACTTGTAGATGCTGCAGAGTTATATGCAAGTCAGAAACCGGCATGAGTAAAATAGGGTTACTTTGGTGTTTGATAATCAGACAATAGTAAATACTGAAGTGTTTGTGGTTGTGCATTGAGTAAGGTTCCATTTACTTTGGTCGAAGTAGCACGGTTCTATAATGTGTTTATATTGATAGTAGTCGTAGGCACAAATACCATAAAAATGAGTGTAACAGTTACAGATCCGAACGGAGTAATTCTGATATGCTCAGCGTAACGAGCCTGTACTTTTGCTTAAGTCAGCCTGAAGTGAATTTAAGTATTTTAGCCAGGTATCAGCTAAAAAGTTGAGTCGGCGTTGAGGTATGGAGGGTACTCTACTTTGGAAGCGTAAGGAAAAGTCACGATTTGCGAAACTCCCAATTCAAATAAGCTAGCGACCGACGGACAATAAGGTCCGTCTAACACGTAGATACAACTGCTGTAAAGTCGATAAATGTTAACGGTCGACATAAGCTAGAAATGCCTAGTTCGAATAACGTTCATATGTCAATGACATAGCTTTTGGGAAGGGTTTATCTTTTACGCTACAACGTGCATCCATTTATCTTCCGTTCTGTGAAGTTAGGCCATTTTTATTTATTAAGAATAAAGCCAAAAAATTTTCGTCATTGTGGAGTCAGTGAAAACAGTTAAAAAATCAATAAAGCAGTATTGGCTAATGAACTACCGAAGAAGATTAACATCGTAACGTAATCTCTGAGGATCAAGCGCACCACAGATAGAACCCAATTATGGCACTGTAGAAGAGGCTCATTGTTCGTGGCAGTAAAGGTTTGGCCTGTCCTCCGATTTCGGACGGATTCCAACCGAAGATTAAGAAAATCTTTCACTGATACACACATGGCATCGTATTTCCTGAAAACAAAACTAATTTAGTAGAACTAGTCATACGTTTTCGCCTAAGCAATGATATTCACCTTTGGGTCGCATGTATTTTTGGAAAAATGTTAGAGACTTCTAGTCGTCGTTTAACATGACTTTCTCATCAACATCAGAGAATACCATATCGGTTTTGAACGCGGTTTTAAATAGGCGATCAGCATCTCTTGCAAAGAGGAAACGTAACTGAAGTGATGTTCGAACTCTACCGATCAGGGACAAGCAATAACGTAGATTGTTGCGCTAAGTGAAGTATGTAATTAAACGAAATTTGTAGATCACTAATAAAACGATTTTGCAGTCAGTTTTATGCAATATGCATTGCTTTTGTGCCATTTGCTAAATTTTATGCCGATTTTATACTAACATTTAACGATCATTTCATTCGGAATTGCAACCTGCAATTCAGAAACACGATAAGCGTGCTATTTTGAATGAATCATTCATTCAAACTTTCAGTATCTCCGTTTTTACGGTATTTAATATTGAAACATTTTTCTTTAATCCTGAGCCATATGAAATAAATCTTGAATAGATATTTAATAATGACTGGTAGCTCGGTCTATTTGAAACTGCACAACTAGCAGTCCATATCTAGTCGAAAGTTAAAATATAGACATTGCTATTAAGCATATACGTAATCAAGCACAGCCTTTCGATGTCAGGGAATATTTTGATTCTGTGGAAACATGTGTCAGCCACGTCGGCGTGGTTGGACCATTTGCAATACCGCTATGAAGCGTCATTAGCTCTCCAGTGGTCGAAATTATAAGCGAAATACGAACATCGTTTGGCCAGTGTTGTACAAATTAAATAGCATCGGAAATCAAACGAAGATAAGCAGTGACTGTCAGTCCTTCTTTCGTCGATAGCGTTAATGGCTCAATATAAAATACTAGATAATTCGGTGAGCATTTATCACGTCTTAAGCATTTTTCGGGTTTATAACATTCCGCTTGATGACTATTAAAAACACATTCCGTTCCACTGACAGAGTTTGCAAAAATTTGTGACATTTCTTTGACGGCTAAATTTTGATACGAATACACGCATACTTCTCCGTTGGTTTCATGAGATGAGCAGCATTTTGCTGTGGTATTTTTTTCATCCGTTAGTTCATCCTCGAAGACGACTTTTGAGTGTTTGAAGTTTTACCCATCCTGATTATTTGTTTACTGTAACTTTATCATTCATTATTATGGTGGAAAATGAAATCTTGCCTTTCATGGATCAAAAATATGTTTAAGTTTTGTTTATTAGCTTAAAGTCAAATCAGAAATATTCTTTTTATCTAAGCGAACAATTATTATGGCATAATCGCATATTATTAACGGTTTCAGTTATGTTGTTTTACCGTCAGCTGTTTAGTCTCCCTGCTTTGCGTGATTGTCTTGAAAGTTGTTGATCGCAACGTTCTTCATTCCTTGTGGCCGCCGGTTTTTTCAGAGTTCCTAAATATGTGAAGAGGCAATGATCAAATTCGTTCTAATATCGTTTTGGCTTTTTTTTGCAATCCCTTGTTATTTTTATTGCGGAATATCATTACTAAGCCCTTATTTATAATTAAAGTTTCAAGTGAACAGATAAATTCAAAACCACTAAAATTTTTTTTATGAAGCTTTCGTACAAAATTTTTTTTGCTTCTGTTGGGCTACCGTTATTTCCTTATTTTTTCATACAGTCTGATAACTGTTTTTTGGTGTGTAGTTGGAGGACTCAACGGATTTTCTTCCATGATTTGTCGTCCTCCTTCGTTTTGAATTCTGTATGAAAACTGCGGTAAGTTGTTCGTGTCAAGTTGCGAATCGTTGCATATAGTCCTGTCGTACCTATCAGCTGTTCTCTCAGTTGTTTCTAAGTATGTTTTTCTTTTCTTTTTCTTTATATCTAAGCTTTTTTTCTTCTAAAAGTGGATATCTAGATGATTCCGTTCAAGTGGTAAGATGTCCTTGTTGCCTAACCTACACGATCGGTTACCTTGTTACTCACTCTTACAATCACCTGTTAGTGTAATTACTAGTGAATTTTTATATGACTTGTTGATATGCTGCTTTTGATGAAAATATACATTTATATTATCTTATTCAAGCAATAATGAACTGACTTATATGGGTATATATATTTTAACAAAAGATCACGAACGAGCTGAATTTCA